TGAAATTTAAAACGAATTATAATACAACAGCTACGGTGACCGTTCAAGAGTCATAAACAATTTTAGCACAAGCTGTCAAAATTTTGCTTCTATTTCTCGATTTATGACTGAAAGCACAAAGATAATACTCAGACTTTATCTACGACGCTCTTCGCTACTACGAATGCGGTTACATCATCAGATAAGTAGTTAATAGACAAGGATCACAAAAGGGTCATTCTGCGTATAAATTATATCGAACATGAATGATAACAATCGTTTCAGACATTGTCGTTTAGTATATTGTTGTTACACAATGTCCCCTGAAAATTATCTTGAATAAACTTTGCATGTAAGAAATCGGATTTAAACCTTGCGCTAAATCTTATACTGAAAAGTCTGCTATCTGGCGAGTCGAAGTAAAGTGCAGCTACGAAAAACCTCAGAGCCGTACCAGTATACCTAATTGTCGTTGTTATTCGCAAGTCAACGACTTGCTGATCGTTTCTGTGCCAGTTGTTTGGAAACAACGTAAGGGAAATTGTCTGCTCAACGATACTCGTGGTTACGATTTGCCTCTGTGCCACCATTTTCAATATCTTGACGATGATTATGCGTCGTGCCTATTACCACAGGTTGCTCAAGTACAAAAGAGAGGTTGCCTTATCCCAGGAATAGTCCTATATGGATGCAGTAACATGAGGTGGAGCAATGAAGTGATTAATTCTTATCTTGGAGCAGTTAAACACACATTATATGAAAGCTCAGGAAAATGAATAAATATGTATGCACGCCCATTAGAACTATAATTATGCACAGCTACATTGGGCCTAGTATTAATCCATATGCCGTGAAAACGTACTGCTTCGACAGCGAATGCGCCAAACATTAAAAGGATAGGTAACTGATACTACTAAGAGATTCGACACCTATTCTGGAAAAGAAGAATATGGGTCGTATGGATCACGGATAGAGAATGAAGTACTGGAACAGTGTGAACCTGGTGAGGTGCGAACGGTGGAACGACAAACCGACGAGCCCGCGAGCGGAAGATAGAAGCGAATAACCTGTTGTTGGATGCTGGTTTCGCAAACATGCAAAGAAACGACTTTACTAATAAGGGGAAAAGATTGACTAATAAGAAAAGATGAGGAGTGAAATTGTGCAAATATAACCTCTGTCAGGAGTGCTTAATAGCAATCGTGTAAATGTTATTTACAGCTCTTACTGCTATGAGCCATGAATCTTGGATGATAATCGGAAACTGTAATCGTAGGAACAAGCGACTGAAATGAGTCCAGCGATTCGTCCCAACAGTCAGAGAGGTAGAGACTTGGTGTACAGCCGCTGATTCTCCAAATCGAAAAGTCACAGCAGTGATGATATGGGCATGTCTTGGGAACGCGTTCAGAAAGGAAAGCGAAACAGCCAGGAATTGCTCGACGACCAGCAGAAACTCTCAAACACTGCCAAGAATGACCTGAAGAAATAGTGTCGATGGACTCTGTTAAAAACGCAGCTTGTCTCTTGCTGATGCTCAGACGCTGCTGAAGCATCGGCAACGCTGGAGACACTGTCTG